GGAGGGGAGCCATGGATGGCAGCACGCGGCCCGGCGAACGGCGTCGAGCGTGACCGAGAGATTCTGAGCCCAAGGCCAGAGTCGCTTGAAGCAAAAGGACTCTTGAGCCAACACGGCTACAGAATATTGCAGTGCATGTGTAAGCTCTCTGGAGCAAGATATCTTGATCAAAGTATGTATGTGGTACCATAAACGTGGGGCACGGTAGAGGCGACGACGAGGCGGCAACGGACAGCAATGTGGCGAAACATCGTCGGGCTCACCTTGCGCACAGGGCGGCAAAGAACCGGCCACGGGCGGCAACTCGGCGAAACCACGCCGGCCCCACCCAGCGCACGAGGCGGCCGCGGAGGTGGGCACGGGCGGCAACGCGGCGAAACCTCGCCAGGACCACCCAGCGCACGAGGCGGCCACGAGGCGGCCACGGGCGGACGAGGCGGCCACAATGCGGGCTGTCAACTCGATTGCTCGCACAACCATCCCACCCTCCAACCCACAACTTGTTTTGAAACACCCATGCGGCGGCGATTGCGATGACAGCTTGGCCTTGGCTGGCGCGCATCTCTGCCGCCGCGCTGGAGAGCGCAAACTCGCGCAAAGAGCGGCCAACTGGTTGGGCGCAACCGATGCGGCCGCGATGGCGCTTACGGATGGCAACTTCCCAGCGCATATAACGGGCCACGCTGGCGCGCAGGCACTTCAATGCAGGTTTGTGGCTCGGGCGGGCGCGGTGTCATGATGCCGTCGACAACGTCGGCAACGATGATGATAGTAGCAATGGTGGTGGCGATGATGACGCTTACGACGAGAAGGCCAACGATGGCACCGATGCTGACGCCGATGACGATGATGATGTCCATACCTCGATGACAAAGGTGCTTGAGTGATGATGGCGGCAGTGGATGCGATTGTCAATGACGATAACGTGATGCGGAGGCGTTGATACGGATGATGGTGAGAAAGTGCGTGCGTGGACATCCAAGGGTCTCGGCAAACGATGTTGAAAAGTACATGTTTGTCATACGTATTTGAAGAGTGCTATCTTGAAATGATTGGAAGCCGAATGTTCTGGAAGGATTTCGGCACGCTCGCGTGGCGACGCCTGCGCGAATAGCCAGCATGGTATTATTAGATACGGACTCGTGCACTGGGCGCATGCTGGATCAACGCGGATGCACCGCGTCGTGAGCTGAGAATGCGGTTCTGAGCGAGATAGGTGTCCCTATGATTCCAGCCAGTGCGCGCGGGCAGAAAAAATGCTAGGTGTGCGATGAAAAAAACTGGTGGCTGTTCATGGTTGGATGGTGGAATGCTTTCAAAACTGATGTGTCTTGGTGTGGTTTCGACGTCTGCGCGCGCGGACTTTGTGGCAGTTTATGGCAGGGAAGACTGCAACCATTGCGACGAATGAGCGCGCACGCACAAGAAGATCTCGCAGGGATTAGCGGGGCAATACCCGCTCCGCCTGGGATGGCACGAAGCCGTTTGGAACATGAGCGACCGGGCGGAATCATCTAAAATTTGCAGTGTCCCAGGGGGCGTCGCTAAGTACAAAGGGGGATATAATAGAGGCCTCCTAGATGGGGTCGGAGTAGATGCATCGGCGACGTCGGCGAGGGGAAACACGGCTCCACATCGAGCCGCATCGTCGATGCATCAGCGATGCGGCTCGATCCTCCGACCCCATCTACTCGGACCCCAGCTGGGAGGCCTAATTAGAGGATAGGGTGGTGGGGTCTATCCTTTTTTTTCTGATGGCGGGCGAGCGCGCGCGGCGCAGGCTGCGTGGTGCAGGGGGACGAGGTGCAGGATGCGAGGTGCAGGCTGTGCGCTGCCAGCTGTGTGGTGCAGTCTCCGCGGTGCAGGCTGCGTGGTGCACGCTGCGCGCGGGAAGCTCTGCGGCACGGGAGCTGTGACACGAGCTCCGCCGGACGGCCACGGGAGGCAATACGGGGCGGCCGCGCAGCGGCCGCGGACGGCCACGGCGCGGCCAAGAAAAAAATCCTCGCGCGACCCGCCCGCTCCCCGAGCGAAAAACAACTCCCGGCCGCACGGTCGGACTTGATTGGAGAGGACGCGCGAGGGGACACAAGACCCCTCCGAGGGCCGCGTTGCCATAGGAGTGTAAGAGAGCACGTGTCGCGAGGCACGGGACACAAGGGCACCCTTGCGCTGGCAGGGTCGACCTGCTAGTCCGGGCCGACTGCATCCCACCCCCCCCCCGACGTTAACCCCCGAGCCGGGTCTGGCTGGGAGTGCCCCGGGCCCAAGGAGCCCCCAGGATCTCCAAGGAGGCCCCCATGGCCTCCCCTCCAGAGAGCCTCTCGCCTGGGCCCAGGAGGGCCCCAGGGGTCCAAAGCTGGAGCAAAACGCTGGGGGGGAACCTTGGACCAGGGGGACCTGGAGCAACCCCCGACTAAGGGGGGAGGTGATGATGCTGCTGCTGGCTGGACCTGGATGGAATGGTATGACTCGATGATGACTGGCATGGGGTGATGGCGACGCTGATGGCGAGACTGGAGCTTGCCGTCTCCTTCCTGCCGAGGAACGATGCCGATGATGATGCATTCGGATGCTGATGCGATGATAGAACTGCATGATGGATCATGACATGCTTGTTGCTGCATGCATGCAGATGTGATGATGATGATGCATGATGAGATTATGATGCTGATGCTGCTGACTGCTGCTGATGGATTGATGGCTGATGTGCTGCTGCTGGATGATGATGCTGATAATGCTGCTGTTTTTTTCTGCTGATCGTGAATGATGCTGCTGCTGCTGCTGCTGATGAGGATATGAGGAGGAGGAGGAGAGGAGAGGAGGAGGAGGAGAGGGGATGAGAAGGAGAGGAGGAGGAGGAGGGAGGAGGAGGAGGAGGAGGAATGAGGAGTCTCTCTCCTTCGAAGCTGGTTCTCGCTCCTGCCTGAGGAGGTAGGCCCTCGCTGGAGGGAGCAACCCCCTGACTGAGGAGTGGCAGGGGAGGTGGGAACGGCCGGACTCAAACGAGCGCGGCGGGCCTCCAGACGGCGGACGGGACGCTAGCTCGGCCCCGGGTGGCGAGACGACCCACCTGGAGACGCGCGGGGGGGGGGGGGCCGTCGATCGCCAGGTGGCATCGGAACATCGGAGGGAGAGAGGGGGGGGGGGGGGGGAGGAGGAGAGAAAGGGGAGGGAGGAGCGCGAGGGGAGGAGAGGAGGGGAGGGGGGGGGGAGGAGGAGGGCGAGGGGAGGAGGAGGAGGAGGGGAGGAGAGGGGAGAGGAGAGGGAGGGACAGAGGCGACGTGGGGCCTGGCTCGGCCGAGCACGGGCAGCGCCTCTGCCGAGCCGCGAGCCCGGGGCCCCAGGGCCTGGAGCGACCACGGCCTCGCCGCAGACGCCGAGGGCGGCGAGGCCTGGCTGCAGAGGAGGGACGCGATATTGAAGGGGCCCCAGGACACGCAAATAAAGACACACAAATAAAAAGATTCCCCATATTTTCCCATATGTTCTGGGTTTCTGTCTTCCCCCCACTTCCCATATGTTCCGATATTTTCCTAGGAATCGACAATTAATTGCGTCTGTGTGTTATTTTCCCTCCTGAAATATGAGCACCTCGGGCAGCAGAGGCAGACCGAGCCCGCACGCGAGTGCGGGGGCGAGGCCCGAGCCCCAGAAAAGGCACGGGCAGTGCCCCCGAGCGCTCCCGCGCCAGTCTGCCCTCTCTCGCGCGAAGGGGGCCAGTCCGAGGCCGCGGCGGGCGCCAGCGCCCTGGCCGACCCGCCCTATAGCAGAACGGGTGCTCGTCCCAGACGTGCGACGTCCTGACCTTTTCAGGACGGCGTCCCTGGAAGTCCCGACCCTGTCCCCGGGACCGGCTCTTCGTCCCGAGTCGTTTTTTGGCGGTCCCGAGGACTGGCGAGGGCCCCCCGGGGCCGAAAACTGCCAAAAGCCTCTTGTCCTGATTTTTTTACGACGCGATCATGTCTGGGATTGTCACCCCCCGGGCACCGCTC